GTCACTGAAGCACATTCTTCTGGGATCCAGGACAGATCAATTATCCTAAATTGCCTCAGTAGCTACAGATAGTGCATTCCTGTTGACTCAGTGATCCCAGAATCTGGACAGCACAATTATTCTAAATTGTCCAGGTGGTCCCATATAATGTGTTTCTGTTGATTTAGTGATTCGTAGATAACTAAGTTGCTCAAATTTTTTTTTTAAACTTCTTTCATCCCATCTTTATTTTTACCATTTACACTTAGGCTTTAATTCAGATTGCCTTAGAAAAGTAGAATCCATTGTGCTTACTCATATTGATGATTTTATCAAAATACCTAATAGGAGTAAATTTTTGTGTGTGTTTTCTTAATCCTCACCGGAGGATTTCTTTTCTATTGATTTTTAGAAAAAGTGGGAGTGAGGAAGGCAAAAAGGGAGAGAGAGAGAGGGAGAAGGGGAGGAGAGAGGGAAGAGGGGGAAAGAAACACTGATGTGAGAGAGACACATCAATAGGTTGCCTCCCGCACACACAGTCCAATGCTCTAGCCGTTGAGCCAAAATGAAAGTTGTTTTTTTTTTAAAAAATATATTGATTTCAGAGAGGAAGGGAGAGGGAGAGATAGAAACATCAATGATGAGAGAACCATTGATTGGCTACCTCCTTGGGGATTGAGCCTACAACCCAAGCATGTGCCCTTGACCAGAATGGAACCTGGAAACCTTCAGTCCACAGACTGACGTTCTACCCATTGAGTCAAACCTGGTGAGAGTAAAATTTAAGACTAAAGACGTAACAGTTTGTTGAGTAATTTGCCTACAGCAACTGTGAGGTGTGGTCTGCAAATGTATTTTCTTCCTTTTTAGCAGGTATGTCCAGTGGCTCAAGAGGACATACCATGTGGATGTCCTGTCCTGACTACTCAAGCTCAGTAAACACCTAAAAAGAACACAACCTCTTTCTTTTTGAGACATAAATGTTTAATTTGGATGATGAGGATAGGCAAGCACTAAAGACAATGGCTAGCTCTTCCATTTATTCCAATGAAAGAAGAGGAAATAAGATCTTGACTGTTTTTGATCTATGAATATTTACCTTATCATATCTACAACTTGGTATTTCTTGAGCAGGACTACCCCAATAAGGTGAGAGGTGATAATAGTCAAAGATGGAGATGACAAATATGTAGAATTCAACATATATATGTAGGTTAGTCCAATGTCCCCATATGGTCTCAAATTCCATATTTGGTCAGAGCTGGCTCATCTTTGCTCCACTGTGCCTCAGATTCTGCTTCATCACTTTTGAGGGAGAGTAGATTCAGATCATATGGGAGCTAGCTGGTGGGGGCCGTTTCCTTGGCAGCTTGCTGGGCCAACTAGTACTTGTATCTTTTTGTCTTGGGCTTCTCAAAGTTCACCACAGACATAGGTACCCTGATAGTGTCCAGCCCATTTACCGTCACCTCACACCAATACTCACCCCATCGTGTGATGGGCCCTTCTGGTAACTTTAATGCAAGCTGGGCTACCACAACACCAAGATTTTTTAGAAAACGGCTGGCAACTATTTCAGGGTTTAGCTCCCATTTGACAATGTTCTTCATCCCCACTTCCAGGTGACAATTTTTCAGAAATTTCACTGTCGCCTCACCAGCCTTGGTCTGAATCTTTTCTAGTTTTCCCTCTTTTCTTAGCAATTTCTCCTCTTCAAACAACTTCCTGTTTTCAGGGAATGCATATACAGCCAGTCCTTGAGAAAGAAGCTTGTTAAGGCCCACAGATTTCCTCATTGAAACCAAGTCACCCCGGACTCCAAGCTCCTCTGCCAACTGCGTGAGGTTGAGCTCCAGGTTCTCTTTGGGCCGGTACTTCGTGTCCTCCACCAGCCGGTAGATGCCAGTGCAGGCCCGGCTTCTGACCCTTCTCGTCAAGCAGCACCTTCCACCAGCGCTCCACGATGACCGTGCCCTGGTTGTGAGAGAGACTGAAGCCGCGCTCCGGGCCGGGGGTGCACCCTTCCAGTTGCGGCCGGAACAGCGCCCCGACTCGACTCCTCGCAGTAGCTGCTCAGCGGCCAAGCGCAGCAGAGCCCGGCCAGGGAACGCCATGTTCCGGGCGTGGAGGGGGCCCTAAGTTGCTCAAATTCTGCTTCTGTAAAAATGCTTTTTTGCGAAACAGGTTTCTCATTCCACACCCAAAGATGTAATCGATACTTTTGTGATTTTCTGCCAATATAAGCCAGAAGTGGCAAGCTGTTCAGGGCTGCGAGGTCCGGTGCGCTTTTACTCCCTCGTATGCTGTCGGCTTTTAATAAATGACTCCATAATTTGACTTTTTTTGAGGGGTCCTTTGTAAGATGGGAGTTACACTACAACAGTTGGGCAGAACGGCTTGGGGCAGTCCACCTTGATCAGCACTCTCTTCAAATTCAAAATCAGTCGGAAGTCAGTGCAGCCGCCCAGCTCAGAGGAGCGAATCCCCAAGACCATCGAGATCAAGTCTATCTATCACGCAGGATATCGAGGAGAAGGGCGTCAGGATGAAGCTGATGGTCATTGACACGCCAGGCTTTGGGGACCACATCAACAATGAGAACTGCTGGCAGCCCATCATGAAGTTCATCAGCAACCATTTCAAGAAGTACCTACAGGAGGAGGTGAACATCAACCAGAAGAAGCGCATCCCCGACACACTTGTGCACTGCTGCCTGTACTTCATCCCAACCACCAGCCACTCCCTTAGGCCCCTGGACATCGAAGTTCATGAAGCACCTGAGCAAAGTAGTCAACATAGTTCCTGTCATCGCCAAGGCCAACATGCTGACCCTGGAGGAGAGGGCCTACTTCAAACAGCATATCACCACCGACCTGCTGTCCAATGGTATCTATGTGTACCCCCAGAAGAAGTTTGACAAGGACATGGAGGACGGGTTGGTGAACGAGAATTCCTGAGATCTTCCCGTTCCTGTGGTGGGCAGTGACCACAAATACCAAGTGAACAGGAAGAGAATCCTCAGCAGGAAAACCAAATGGGGCACCATAGAAGTTGAGAACATCATGCACTGTGAGTTTGCTTACCCGAGGGACCTCCTCATCAGAACACACATGCAGAACATCAAGGACACCACCAGCAGCATCCACTTTGAGGCCTACTGCGTGAAGCACCTGCACAAGAGCAGCATGACCAACTGGGCCAGGAATGGAGGGCACAGGATATACACCCGCCGAACCTAGACACAGCTCCCCCTCCCCCCGCCCCATTCATTTTATATCCTTCCCTCCATTTGGCATCGCTCTCCACCCCTCACAACGATGCCAGGACAGACAACTAGCGCCCCCTGAGTATGATTGTTACTGGCCCACCCATGGGGTGCCGGGGGTGGAGGCAAGCATTCTGGCTGTCCCTGAGGTCCAGGGAGGCTGGACCACGGGCTTCCTGCACTTGTTCTTGGTCTCCCCACCCCCCTACCCCCACTGTTTCAGCCCCAGGAGCATGCCCGGGGTATGTCCAGGAGGAATGGAGCCCCCTGGGGGACCTGGAGCCCCTTCCTGTCTCCACCCCCTTACATGGTGTGGGCCATAACTCAGACCACATAACTCAGAGAGCCCCGCTAACCCCTGTACCCCCCACGGGGAGACTAGTTAATTCCATGAGACACAAGTTGCCAATTGCTTAGACGTGGCAAGCCCATCGGCTGCTGCCCACCCACCCACCTGCGAGCCCATCCTGGAGCAGGAAGTGAATGCCTTTATCCAGCCGCCCACTTGAGCCCACACTCCTGCTGTCCCCTCAGATGGGAATGGAGACAGGTTGGAGAGGGAAGTGTGTCCTTGTCACACTGTGGTACCTCTGTCCCCCACTGTGGCTGGGATTTTTTATTTTTTATTTTATGTTTTGTATGTTTTTTCATATGCTCTGGTTGGGGTTTTAAACTGTCACTTTCCCACACTCTGGATTAGTTCTGATTCTACCACAAGGAGCCCTCAAATTGGCTAATGTGAGAAACTTGGAATGAAGACCCTTTATCCTGCCATCTTGCTGAGAGAGTCTCATTTAAAAAAAAAAAATCAAAAGGTTATTGCATGATCTTGGATGAATCCCGCTTTCAGCAGTCCAAGGTCCTGATCACCTCATCTCACTGCTTTGTGGCAGGGAGAAACAGGGAAGCACGGTTCCCAAATTGTCCTTCACCCTGTGGCACACCAAGGGGAAAAGCCACCTTGATGGTGATTGGCCTTCTCCCTCTCTTTATCCTTGATTAAAACCCTTTGCACATAAGGCAACATGGAAGCTGATGTTTTTACTCATCTCGCTGTTTGAAAGCACCATTATGAAGACAGGTTGTACAATAGTTAACAGTACCTTTTATAGCTGAAACTGGTTTGGCTCAGTGGATAGAGCATCGGCCTACGAACTAAAGTGTCCCAGGTTCGATTCCGGTCAAGGGCATGTGCCTCGGTTGTGGGCACATCCCCAATGGGGGATGTGCAAGAAGCGGCTGGTCGATGTTTCTCTCTCATCGATGTTTCTAACTTCCTATCTCTCTCCCTTCCTCTCTGTAAAAAAATCAATAAAATATACTTTTTTAAAAAATAGTACCTTTTATGGAGAGAGCTCATATATTCTAAACGAGAGATAACAGCGGCTTCTAGAAACTGGTTTTCTTCAAGGTTTCCTGTGTGGTAGGCTCCTGAAATACTGTATAAAAGGGTCTTCTGGTGTCCTCGTCTCCCTGCTGCTTGTTGGGTTCTGCTCTGCATAACCAGGAATGGTGCTGGCAGGACAGCTCAGTGGCTTGGAGGGGTTTTGGCCTTCTGAGTATGTCTCTACTTCCCATCCCCTGCTTGTGCTCCTATCTGATCAGGCTAGAGACAACAACAAAAAGATATATAGTTTTAAAAAATCCAATACCAATATATAGACTTCCATAGAATTTCCTTTTTCCTTCTTTCTTATATTTCCTCTCTGCAAGGTATTGTTACTATGTTTTGTTATTATTTGTTTTGTTTTGTTTTGTTATTAATTTTTGCTGCAATAAACCCTCTTGTTTCAGTCACAGCAAGAAACAAAAACCAAACAGAAAACCTCTCTGAAAAGAGTTGAAAACAAAAAGGGGGCGGGGGTAGGGAGAGGGAGAAACTTGATATTGTTTTTAAATAGAACTAAAGATTAACATTAAAAAATCAGGAGATGATGGCCAATCCTATTCACCAGGCCAAGCCCTCCGGTGTTTCCACCTCTGATTTTTGTTTTAAATTACTGTACCTTTTCTCTTCTGGGTGCTGATATTTCTCTTCATCCTCATGTTCTTTGTGTTTTGTTGAGGGTTTTTTTGTTGTGTTTTTTTGTTTGTTTAACTTTGTGTCACTACCTCAGTTTGCCCTCATGTCCCTTACATACAAGCAAAATATTCCTTCAGCAGAGTGAAGAGGTTCTGGATGACCAGCACACTCCACGACCAGCCCAGCAGTCAATGCCTTGCCAAGCAGCTCATGTTAAAGATGCCCGTATAGTGGACAGGGAAACCAAACACCCTTTCCATTTCACTGCACCATAAGATGTCCTCTTTATCATTCATGAAGACAGGGAAATGCTGGCCTTTGCCCTGCTTTAGGGAGTTCGACCTCGTGGTAATGGTCCTCACTTTGCTGAACTTGGCTATTCTGCCATGCTCCAGACACTCCTGCAGCTCCAGCTTATCATTCACAGTGGATACCAACGGCCTGTTCATACCGGGAAGGTTCCCCCAGAAGTAGTGGGCCCTGTGTGCAGCTGACACTTCTTTGGCATCAATCATCACAGTGTTAGATTTGAGAAATCGTGAGATGTCCCTCTTGTCACTAACACCCATGGCCACCACATTCTCAAAGAGCCAGAAGAAGGGGCACTCATCTCCTTTGGGCTGCGCGTCATGCAGGAAGCAGTAGAACTCAAAGAAGATCTGGCTAGTGCCCTCGTAGAGTCCCTTGTAGGCAGGGTTGACAATGGAGAAGTCATTGCACGGACTGCCCCCAGTCACCAGGTCCATTGGGCCCCTCTCCTGGATATGCTTCTGTGTGACTCTGTGGAAGTCCCCAACGTACATGATCTTCTCCTGATGCCACACCACGCCTACCATGATGGAGTCCTTGCACACCTCTGAGGCGATGTAGCGGTCCACCTGAATGCCTAGGTCCTTCAACACCAGAAGCCCTGTAACCCCACTCAGATGGCTCCGCTTTCCTCCTCCAGCCCAGAGTCTCAAAAGTCTCCCTTTTATTGGGATGCATTCTGCAGTGGCCTTTTGCTGGGATCCTCCTGAGAATCCGTCTCTTTTTGTATAAACAACAAAGTGTTGGAAATGTATTTCCTGAAATAAATGTTCCAAATAAGAAAAAAAAAAAAAAAAAGAAAGAAAAGAAAAAAAAGAAAGAAAGAAAGAAAAGAAAATTAACAGAAAAATCCATGATGAACAAATATTTTAAATATTGTTGTGCTGATCCATAATAGAGCCTGAGGCAAAAAAAAAAAAAAGTGTTCCCATTGTCAATGTAAGAAATATTCAAACTTGTGAAGAATTTTTGTAAGTGTATTTGAGCCAAACTGTGGACCATTGCTGGGAAACAAAATCTAAAGGGAATTGAGATTATGTTCCAGAGAATGGCAGTGTTTCACCTTATTTTATACATTACAATGAGGAAGAATATAGGGGGCAACCAGTCACATCAGTGACCGGTGTCCTAGTGCAAATTTTTGTTAGCTTACAGCAGTGGTCAGCAAACTCTTTAGTCAACAGAGCCAAATATCAACAGTACAACAATTGAAATTTCTTTTGAAAGACAAATTTTTTAAACTTAAAAACTTCTTCTAACACCACTTCTTCAAAATAGACTCGCCCAGGCCGTGGTATTTTGTGGAAGAGCCACGCTCAAGGGGCCAAAGAGTTGCATGTGGCTCACGAGCCGCTGTTTGCTGTCTATGGGCCTACAATATATCTAATTAAGTCATTGCCCCTTCCTTAGGCAATATTCTGTTTTCCTGAGTGCTCCCAGTTTTCAGGGGCCACGGACATGGAATTTGGTAGGTTGGCCCTAGGGGAGGCAGTTGCTGGTACGGCCCAGGCCAGGCATTTAGATACAATCTAACTTCCCCATTCCAACTGACTTAGGGAGGGGCTGTGGAAGCTCAGCACAAAAGCCCAGTAGTGTTCTGGGCTGCAAACATTGTACAGCTCCTCCATTGCCTGGAGGCAGGATGTGTTAGGACAGAGGCAGTTAGAGTAGATCACTGAACAATGGGTTGGTTGGAGTTTAGAGGGAGTTAGAGGTTTAAGCTCCGGCCTAGCATGCCTAGGCGTTGCACCTGTGCCCCGAGTTCCTTGGAAATGGCTGAAATAACTTTTGTAAGCTTTGTGTTGTCATTGTAAATGTCCTAACTCTCTCTTGTGGTTTCTGAGTATAAATTTGCTGTAACACCTGTGGTCTGCACTGCAGTTAGGCCTTTACCGCGGTAGAGTGCTGCAATTACACTCACTGGCCAGTTTATTAAAGGCTCAAATTTTTATCTGTCTCTGGTGGTCGTCTCTTGCGGGTGACCCCATAACAGTAGTTAGGAAACAAAGAAACTTAGGGATATATAAGGGGTGATCTCATTGTATTAGCTGTTCTGGCTTTGGATCTTTGATTCTCCTGAGCCAGCAGCGCTGCTTTAAATAAAGGGTTTTTCCTGAATCTCTGAGTACTCATTGTGTATTTTCCGGTTGTCTGGTAAATTCTGCAACAACAATCAAAAGAGAAGACATAAGTGGGTTACATGAAATTCATTGATTCTCCACAAGGAGCCCTCAAATTTTTCATATCTAATAAAGGAAGCGATCTGGGGAGGTAGATATTGTTTGCACTAGGGAACCATAAGGATCATAATAATATGCAAATCATTTTATGTACATTCATTCAATATCAATCAGATGATATAAAACAAGCAATATCAGTTTGTGGGCATACGGGTCTTGTTGACGTCTTGGGATAGATGTCTGCCACCATTGTCAGCGACTTCTCGTCCTTGAAAAGTCTGTGATCTCCGCTGCAGATGGAGATGGTGTCAGAGATGGGAATAGACATCCATTCACAGTCAGTTCACATTCAGGTGCTTTTTTTTTTTTTTAAATGAGAAATGTGAATCTATGAGCTAATTCCTTTAAGATCAGCTGCACATGGATTAGTTAGTGATATCTGGTAAGGTCCCCTCCAACGAGGTTGGAGAGAGTCTTTTATTTGGTGTCTTTTCCAATACACCAAATCTCCTGATTGTAAGCCATGATCTTTGAAATCTTCAACTGCTGAGAGCGCACTGTGAAATGAATCTGTTACCAATTTGTTAGTACCTACAATGCAGAATGTCTGCTCTTTACTTTTCCCTATATTCAGGAAACAAAAGACTTAAAAGTCAACAATATTTTAAATAGAATCATAAGAATAATTATCCTCAATTCATTTAGTCTCATAGTTGTTTTTGTTTATCTTGATTATTTGCCAGTAGTTTTTGAATTCAGTTATTCCTTGAAGTTCTATAAATCTTCATCCAGTTAAAAAGCATGACCTGCTTAGAAGACTGCAATTTAAAATAAGTCCGAGTCCTTTTCATGGATTTTTCTAGACATATAGTATACCTACAAATACATCAGAATAAAGCTGTCCACAAATGACAAAAATTTTAAAGTGGCATGGTTATAGACTTGATAAAAAAAAAACAAAACAACTTTGCTTTTCTATAAAATTTAACATTCCAAGACAACAACTTCTTGGTAAGTAATAATCCTTTTAAATGACATAGAGAATAATATAAAATTTGTATACCTTTAGATTCAATTATAATTTCAACATATAAAGAATAATAAGTAAGATTTTAAAATGAGGCAGATGGCTTATTGCAAACTGTATTGAGCATTGAAAATAATTCATAAACTCCCAATATGTGAAACCCAGGGTATCACTGGCAGACACAGGGAATCATGATACTTGGCTTGCCAGTGTCCCTGACTGAACACATGTTGAGTTCTTTACAGTAGCGATGTCATTTTTCATTTCTTCTTGGTTCTTAATTTCCTCTTGTTTTTTTTACACATATTGTTGAATTTGTCTTCCATTCTTTTCATCCTCCTTATGTTCATTTCTCTGAATTCTTTCTTTGACAGGTTGCTTGCCTCTATTTTGTTTACTTCCTTATCTAGTGATGCCTGCATTTCTTTAATATGTGGGCTGTTTCTTTGTCTCCCCATGATTTCTTTTCTCATCATGTCTGGTTATGTAGTTCTTTCTCTCTTTTTTTTGAGGGAATATAGAGCTCCTCTGAATTCGTGTGCTTGTGGCACTTGGGGACTGGTGTTCTCTGGTTCAGTGTTTTTCAACCTTTTTTGGGCAAAGGCACACTTGTTTCATGAAAAAAATCACGAGGCACACCACCATTAGAAAATGTTAAAAAATTTAACTCTGTGCCTATATTGACTATATATAAAGTAATTCTCTTGAATAGGAATCAAATAAACACAAAGAAAGTATTTTATAATTACTTTATTATGAAATATTAAGTAAACAAAATAGTGAAAAATTATAAAATTCTTGTCTTGTCTGCACCTACGGCACACCAGGCAACATCTCGCGGCACACTAGTGTGCCGCGGAACAGCGGTTGAAAAACGCTGCTCTGGTTCATAGCTGTCCAGTGGGTGCCATAGTTGTAGATTCTACAGGCTTCTCAGGTGTCCAATAAGATCCACTTTTGCCTTCAAGATGGCGTGGTCTCTGCATCTGATTGGGTCACTCTGGGAGGTGACCCAGCAGCAGCGGGGGCTGCCCAATCAGGGGAGCCGTAGCCGACAGTCCCCCACAGTCTCCTGGAGTATAGCTGTCCCTCAACTCACCAACAAATACTCCCTGTGTGACCACACACTCTCCCTTTGCTTTCTCACTCACATACTATCTTGCAGTCTGTCTTCTCGTCAGCAGCCATCTTGGAATCCCCCCCCCCACTAATTTTTTATACCATTTATCCATAATACTTCACAAATTTCAGCCTTTTTAAAAATATATGTTTTTATTGTTTTTCTAGAGAGGGAGAGAGAGAGAGAGAAAGAGAGATTGCCTCCTGCACAGATCCCAAAACCTGGCTATATGCCCTGATCCCTAATTGAATCAGCAACCCTTCCATGCACAGGTACCACACTAATCAAGGTGGTTCTTCTTCTTCTTCTTCTTCTTCTTCTTCTTCTTCTTCTTCTTCTTCTTCTTCTTCTATGTTTTCGGGCTAGCATCTAGACAGTGTATTTCCCTTATGGAAAGAGACCAAAAAAGATAAATGTTTTGATAAATATAGATGGTTCTTAGAAAAGTAAGGAAGTGAACTGAGTGTAAAAGAACAGGAAGGGATTTTATGCTGGAGAACAGCATTCTAATACCTTTACAAAATCTCTATTGCAGAATCAAACAACGAAGCAGCTTGTTTTGATTAAATTTTTGTCATTGACTTACAATATGTTAGGTTCAAACCTTCCATATTTCTCTCTTCAGTTTTCCCATCTTTTCAATTAGTTGGTTGAAGTAGACTGAAGTGAAAATAATTAGGTTCTTGTTTTTTTTTACTTCTTATTTCTCAAAAAAAAAAGTATGGAATGCTTCACAAATTTGCATGTTATCCTTGCATAGGGGCCACACTAATCTTCTCTGTATTATTCCAATTTTAGTATACGTGCTGTCAAAGTGAGCATATTAGATTTTTGTTTACTCCATTGCTAGCTGTTGCAGTGTTTTGGGGAAATTGCTTCATCTCTCTGGACCTTAGTTTCAGAAGTAGACTTTTATCATCTATAAAACAGAGAAAAATCAGTCCTCAGCTTACCTTATAACATTGAAATACCTTGGTAAAATAACAGAAATACAAATTTATTATAAAATGTCGCACCCTTGGAGGTAAATGAAAGTTGAGAACAAGAGATATCTAGAAATGTGGAAAGAAGAAAGGAGTCAGGGAGAAGGTAAAAATATATTGGGGTTGGAAAAAGAAAAAAAGAAATGAAACGAAAGAAAATAAGGAAGTACGAAAGAATTTCGATGGAGATAAAGGCTGCGAGAGGAAGTGCAAGCAGCCAGGAAAACTGGGGGAGGGGCAGCAGGGCTTCTAGGTCGCGTTGCCGGCGGAGCCTTTTTGGTAGTGCACTGCGGTTGCGGGCGGGGCGTATTTAGCTGTAACGCCCACCACAGGCTTTTGTGATTGTTTCACTTAACGGCTTTTCTAAGACCTAAAATGGCGGCGTCCGCTCCGAACCAGGTGTGGAACGGCGGCCAAAGGACAAATTTACTAAGGAAAGTGCTGAAACTGGACAGTTTTTGTGTTGTGGTGAGTGCCGAACCTCAAATAGGTAGAAAAGCAATCGTTAGTAAGGCTACACACTTCCGGATCGTGTGGCCTATCTGAATAGGGGATAGGAGCCGGCCTATATCTCATTTTTCTTGCTAGCCTTCTTCAGAATATCAGACAATAATTTCTCTCTCCTTAATCACCATACCAGCACTAACGAGGCTAGGTGGTTGCGGACACTGGCTCTTAGGATGGATTTTGGGATGTTTTCCTCTCGTCTTTCCTTGTTTAGATGGTTTTTGTTGATACCTTGCTGCCCCCAAATGAAAGATTCCATCTTCGCAGAGCGCTTTCAGGAATAACCTAACCTGTTGAGCCTACCCGTCTTATTTCTTACTTTGTGTTCTTTATTGTGTGCAGTTATAGTTTTGATAAACTAATCAGTTTGTAACATTATGTGCTAGATTAAATTTTATCTAATGCCCTTTATAGATACTCTAGATGAGGACTTTTAAGCATATTAATACTTAACATTTGTTCTGGAAGCATCTCAGGTAGGGGTGTGTGTGTGTGTGTGTGTGTGTGTGTGTGTGTGTGTGTGTAAAGGTAATATTTGGCAGGGAATTGCTATATTATTTTGTGGATTGTTGATTACTTAGTTTCTTGTGTTCAGATTTCTTGGTGAAAATAAATTTATGTTACATATAACATGTTTATTGTCTGGAGAAGACAGTAAAAAATAACATCTAATCTGATGTTAAATGCTTATGTGATTAAAATAAATTCCAGTTAAGAAGTGCCCATATCTCACTTTTGTTGCTGGAGAGAGTATGACTTGCCTACAACCTTTTGAAAAAAGTAATCTGGCACTGTTAAAGAGTTGGTCTGC